TCGGTGAATTGGATGCTCCACTCGAAACTGGGACCCAAGAAAGTCCTCCTTTTCTTGACACTCCAAGTCAATATTCTCAAATAGTCCATTTCCCATTTTCATATCAATTAAAATTTACCCAGGTTTGATGTCCGATAATGTTCAACTGCCTCAAGGAAAAATTAAAAAAAAAAAAAAAAAAAAAAAAAAACGAAGAACTGAATATTTCATGGTGATTCACTCGAAAGATAAACTAATCTAGATTCACGATCTTCGTTTCTATCAGATTAGCGATTTATCTGTGATCATGCACACTATCGGGGCCGATGTTTCTCTTATCGTGTTTTGCATTACGAAAAACAACAACATTGTTCCGTAAAAATAATTTATACCCCATTAAACTACATCGCAAAGGTCAGCAATGTCGTTCTACGATTCAAATACGTTTAATTTATTCCCGAAGAGGAAACAAAGTAAGGTCGAGGCACGGAATAAATAATATGCGTTGCATTCGTAAAAACAATTCCTCCCAACTAAGTCGAAGTTGTTCGTGTAACGAAAAAAAAAATAAAGGAAACCTGAAAGCAACGGATCTGACAACAACAAAAATAAAGATCTCGCGTTTAATTATAAATTCCAATTTTTCTTCAACAGTCAAAGAAAATAACGTTCACTTTCCCCGATTCACTATCACTATTTCCCCGATTATATTCAATATTTCTCCTATTCAAACCCAAATAAATACGCTTCCGAATATTTCTCCTACAATCGTTGAAAGCTCGGTAATTAAATGAATTTTTGTAAATTATTTCTAGTTCGTTATTCGAGATTTCAGTTGAGATAAGAGTTGTTTCGCCCATCTGCGAGACGCCTGGAGAAAATACGTCGGCCGGGTCGAACGACTCGCGAGCGACGAGCAGAGTATAATTTAATGTGTCTAATGATTCGCAGTACGCGGCGGGAACGTGAGTGGCGTACCAAGGTCGTCGTATTTTTAGTTAGGCCAATGTTTAGTTGGCCACGTTCGGCGGAGATAGACGGACCTTGAAATTCGCGGATAACATCTGCGGTCTTATCGACGGCCCCTGATAACTTTTTCAGTACTAACCTAGTATAAGCCAGCCGTTCAAATATTAATCGAGAAAACGGCCGAGGGGCCACACCTGAATTTACTTAACGACGCCGCTGCTGTCAGGACGCGTTTATATTAAAGACCTTCTCTTTTCGCCAAGGATCGCGGACGAAAACAATGTTTCACCTTCCAGCGAGGACATTACGGGCGGAAATTCGTTTTTTAACTGAATTCACGTGGAAAAGCTTCCTCTTTGACACTTTAGGACTGGTGTCGTATTCCCTATATTTATAAAATAACTAATTGCAGCTATGAACGTTTTACGCTCCGAGTATTTTTTTGTAAGTCTGTCGGTGGTCAACTAAGGTTTTAATAAGAAGAATTCATATGTAAAGTTATGCATATATAAAATTATATAAAATATATGTACAAAGTCTATATATTCATGTATAAATTCATATATATAGAGTTTATTAATATCCGTACGTTTTAAGTAAAAAAATCTGCTTACAAAGGTGGCATCATTTCATTTTTTTTTTTTAATCAATTTTGTGTCGCTAGTTTGGATTTAGTATACAGATGCATTTGTTGGGCTACGTTGTTTAGTAACAACCCTGTAACTCTGCACCACAATCGAACACTAAGAATAAATTTTATTATGAAAATGAATAACAGAAAACCCGCAAATTGCATTTTGACTGGGTCCGCCCGATAATTCAACGCGTTATCGCGGAATCGGGCTGGTCGAGCCGCTGTTAAAAATTCAACGAATCCTCTGAAGGAACGTAACGAATGCGTGAAATATGTATGCTGGTAATATCGTGGAAAATACGCGACAGCGGGACGCGATCCCGTCTCTATGGAGAAAAACGAAAGAATACTACATCAAGTCTATTTCAATATTTCTCTGCGTGGAAAACGCGAGAGCGCCTCGTATTCCCTCTCTGCGAAAACCGAACGTTAAAACCTGGTACCGTCATTAACCGTATTTACTGTTAATCCCGCATAGGGGGAGAGAGAAAGAGAGGCGGGGGGAGAGCAGACACGCCAGTGGCGCAACAAGAGATTTCAAACATTATTTATGAGTAAAAATAATTACCTTTCTGTATCGCCAAATTGAACCGGTATATTCCGATCTTTATGAATATCAGTTAATGCAGACGAGTCCATTTCTGTACCTTGGAGATCATTTTCAAAATTGGATATTACAAGTAGCAATGAAAAATAGAATGTCTGTTGAGCGACGCGACGTTGGGTGAGCTCTGAAATTTGGGCTTACGGTTTGTCTCTGAAATATAGATTTGTTTTTTCTTCTCGAGGATATACTCGAATTGGATATTATAAATAGAAACGAAAAATATTATAGGATATCAGTCAAGTGACGTAATATTCCCTAAGTTCGAAAATTTTGATCTCAACGTTTGCCTCTGAGGTAGAGATCTGCTCTCCCTCCTTCAATGGAGGGGTGGGGGGGGGGTGGGGGGGAGACGATCTTCATCGATTGCTCCTCCCCCATTCCACCTAACCTGATTGCGCTACTGGCAGACATTGCGCGAACCAAAAATCGCCAATAAGTCGAGATATGACACCGTAACAATGTCGTTGCCATGTGGTATCCGCGTCAGGGTCAAATGTCGCATAAAGGAGCGTGACAAACTTGGGCCTGACCTATCACATCCTCTTTCGCAATTGAAAACGAGCATGCTGCAAAGTGATGTCTCGCAACGGAACGTTTTCGCGATTATAAATACGTACAATCACGGTGTACACTGCAAGCTTTTTAGATTAGTAGATAACGTCAACGTCTGTAAAGTACATACAATTAAAAGAACCGTATACATATGTTAAGAACATCTGCCATACGTATACATATATAATAATATACACGGCGTGTCAAAAAAGTATTTCTACGGCCAGATTTTTTTTTTTTGTTTTTTTTTTTGTTTTAATGATAACTGTAGAAAAGTAGCACATTGGCATAACGTACATAATTCAAGAATTCGCTGTATTAGAAAACGATGACTTGGAAACGTTGTATCGACTGAATTAAAAAAGATATGAAAATATTCCACTACGTATGAAATGATACGAATATTAACATTTCTAAGTACGAACAATAGAACATCCAGTACATAACAGTATAACAGTATAACAGTACAGAAATGTTCTATTACCGCATCTTTCCTAAATATGCAAATACTCTCTCCAGACCATAGAAACCTTCATTATCTTTTCCATACGATTTTCGACCAGTAAATTACCAACGTTTCCAGGTCAATCTATTATCTTCTTACATTAAAAAGCTGTAAAAGACGCCCATTATATAACACCCCACTTCTTCACAGTTATTCCCCAAAAAGTGAGCGTACGAATACTATCTTGACTCACCGTGTATGCATGCGTATTCGGTAAACAGAAATCTGGTGAAGCAATGTCATAACGCTGTCGTATCGGCGATATCGCGGGCAGCGGCGTGAATTTCGTTACCAAACGTTAATGGGACGACAACAATGATACAAAAATACTTCAACGACGAGAATTGGACAATACGAGCACGGCACGTATATAATTACGTTGTATCCGTATGGTACAGCGAACGAGCAAACGTCGATCGTACGCCTCGACGCGATCTCGCGAAAAGAAAAAAAAGGAACTCGAAGAAACGTTAAACCTTTAATAAATCGGCGACAACCTCTGCGAACATCTTGGAGACTATTACAGGTGTACACAAAGAGAACAGTCTGTCGCTGCATCGTTACTCGTCAACTTCTTCTGTCCCTTTACTTTCATTCTTTTCAGGTTTTTGGGACGGGGGGAGAATTCTCGTTTTCCTTAGTCGTGGTAGAGATCAACAGCGGATATTTTGTACAGTGATGCCAAACTGATGGTTTCATCGATTGTATTCTTTTAAATTTTTGGTGCCAATTAGAATGATCGCAACAAAATTCGACGACCCGATCGAGCGAATGTATCTGCTGTTTCTCGACGCCAGTGGAGCGAACAGATATTTCGAATAGAAAGGAGGGAGTTGACATTTGAAACGCTCTCAATTTTTATATTTTTTGATTGAAAAATACCGATTAATATCGAACACTGAATATCGAACAAATTTTTATTTTACCATAGAGGATAATCTGCCCCCCCCCGTTCGGTTGCGTCACTGCTCGGTTCTAACAGTAACGCGATTTCAATTCGAGCGCCAGGTACAAAACTGTGGCGCGAGGTAAACAATTAAAGCGGATATTTGTGGTACTCGAGAGCGAAAACCGTGGCACATGGGGGTAAAAGACAAAAAAAAGAAGAAGAAAGGGACGATTAAGTCAGCAGATAAATTCGTTTCGACACGGGATGGCGAGTTCGTTGGTAAATCGCGAAACGTTATGAACATCATGAGAATGCGAAATGCAGGCGAATCGTATAATGGTAAACCAAATAAGGAATGATGATATCGATGATTTTTGTAACGCATGCCAATTAGAAGAAGTTTTAATCGTCCAAGCAGACAGTAGTGCTCTTTCACCGCAACCAAATAAATAAATAAATAATATGTATATTTATATGTATATAGATATATATAAATAAAAAGAAATTATCATTCTTGTAATTCGTGATTTGTTAGTTTGATATAACTGCACAAGTTTGTTTTTTTTTTTTAGTTACTGTTTTTTTTTTTTTATTAGAGCGAACCGCTTACACCGCAGACGATTGCGGCCACGATGTATCGACTGTCGGTGGAAAATAATGGAATAGCATAGAGTGTGCCCTTGGAAAAATCAAAAGAACAAAGGATCGAGTCAAATGGAACGTTGAGGATCAATTTCATAGAACCCGTCGATCTCGCGAATTGGAAAATATGACGGCGCGTGGTTACGCGCGACCTCTTTAAATATACCTCGAGCATCGGTTCTGATGATTTAACGGGGCATGAGCTGATAGAAAATATTCTTACCTTGCGAAGTTCCTGCCAAGTCCGGTGGTTGCAACCCGTGGCCCAGCCCTGGAAATTTCACTATCGTCACACGTAGCAACCAACGTTCTACCGTAGCGAGGGGACGAATCAACGGCCTGTACGCAACTTCGCAATTAGGAGAGACTCGAGCAAATGAATCTTCTGTAATCGTCTTCTTTAATTGAAAATGAACAAAAAATAAACACGAAGAAAATGGAGGAAGGAAACGTAAGATACTTGTTCTTTCCTGAATCCATGAAAAATGTAAAATATTATTGGTTTCTCTATTTGTTATTCCATAGACCTGTTGTTTGTGGTGAAATATAAATCGAATATAAATAAATAAAAAGTATCGAAATAAATGAAAAGATTTCATGAATGAATGAGTGGAATTGAGTCTCAATCAGTGTCTTGGTTAACCGCTTCAATCCTGCTGGCATATTTCAGTGAGCGTTAAAATTATTTTTTATTGTATAATGATTAACTTTTTCAATGAAATAATTAATTTCGCAAGGTTTAATCTCACATATTTTATTATTCTGGGATCTGTTTCCACTGATCATAAAGAGAAACGTACTAATCTTTCGTGGAACGCGAGTCTTACGTAGAAAATAATATTTGTCATTCGTATCGAATTTACATTGGAAATTGAAATTATCCTTGCTTTCGTTTAGATGACTTTCGCACTAGAAATCAGTCAATAAATGTTGTTCACGTGTAAGAAGTTTCAACGTAATTATTGAAATTTACAAACGTATCGCAATTCTTTAATCGAATTGCGTTTCGTTTTTCGAAACCGAAAAAAAAAATGAAGTATGCAATAAATATTGGTTCTATCTAAAGGAAAATAATTGAGGGTCGAAAAGACCAATTCGAGCTCCGGTTAAACCGGTGTCAGTGGAATTCCAGGTCATATTCTGAATTTGATTTTATATTTAGGATATCCTTATTTCTGTAACGTCGTCATCTTGGTTCGTATCGATTATCAAGATGAATAATAAAATGAAAGCATCGTTCTGTATTCATAAAAAGCTATAGAACAACGGTAAAAGACAGCACGACCGAATTAGGTGACACCGAAGCAATGATAGATTATTGGATATGAAGCGAACATTTTTCGAGCCAGCTTCGCGTGATTCCTGAATATTATTTAAGATAAGATTGCTCAAACTACGTTTTGCAGAATCGTAGGATTCCTGAACTATGTGTGTTACTCGTTCTAGAAGGGGTCTTCTAATCTTGGGCACTCGGAACTTGGCACTATTTTTTAAGAAATTTCTACGATAACTCTACGAAAATTCCAGATCCTGGACGATTCAACCCAGAAATGATGGAGGTAAAATTGCTCAAACTAGGTTTTGCAGATATGTAGGATTCCTAAACTATGTTACTCGTTCTAGAAGGGGTCTTCTAATCTTGAACACTCAAGACTTGGCACCTTTTTTCAAGAAATTTCTACCAAAATTCTAGATTCTGAACGATTCACCCGAAAAATGATCGAGACTCCTGACGGTGAGGGGTAGACGATCGAAATTGGTCAATGCGTACAGGCCCATCCGAAAAGTAAATTGTCCACGTACCTGACAACGGCATGTGTTCCGTGGCTAGTGCCGCCATACTGAAATTAAAGCTTCCAGGCGTGGGCGGGAAGATTTTCGTCTCGGACAAAAAATTCGGCGTGGACGTGTGCTCGGATTCGACCTCGTGCTCGTTACTGCTCGCGGACGCCGGTGGCCGATCCGACGCCGCAGCTCCAGAATCCGACGAGTCCTCGTTGTTGCCCCCGTTGCCACCGTTGCCACCTGTCAGCTCCAACGGTTCGCACTTAATGTTGTCCTCCAGGGGGCTGGTCTCCTCGTGCACTCCGTTACCCTCGACCTTGCTCGAAAGATGGTTGTTCTTCACCATCGAGAAGTCCGTGGGCGTCGCGTCGTTGTTGTTCAACGGCGGCGACAACAGCCTCGTCTTCCTCGTGGGTTCCTCGTGCGGGTCAGGCGTTCGTCTCTCGTTCTTGCGTATCTGCGCTCTGCGTAGCAATTGCTGCACGGTGGGTGGTATCGGGGTCACTGGCGTGGGCGGGGAACCACCCCTGGGAAAGCTCTCATCCAATTTCTCGTGGAAAGGAAGATGATTGCCACCGGCGGCCAACGCTCGGACATGGGACAGCTGCAAAGAAACAATCGAAACACCAGCTACAACGACGGCCAAATTAACAGTTTTTCGAAGCTTCCGAGATAAACGATTTTGGCAATTCGGGGACAGCTGGAAAGGAATAATCCGAATAAGTGCGTAACGCCGTTTCGCTTGACATATTATCGGCGACAGAGTTTGAATGCTGAAACGTATCGCGCGTTGTTTAATGTTTACGTTTCACCATTTACGGAACTCACGCTTAATTAGCGAAATTAGTTATTGAAATTTTATAGTGCTCGAGCCGTAAAGTTAAGAGGAAAGTTGGAAAACGAGGTTGTCCCAGTGACCGACGCTTCGTTAAAACGATTTGTCCCAGTTATCGACATAGAAACGAACCAGTATTTTACACTCATATAAAATAAAGCTACTTTTCTCATATATTATTGCTTTAACCCGTCGAGCTAGACGCTCGTTAAAAATTAATACCCAAGTTGCGAGTTTACTTTAACGTGATACGGTAAAAAACATAGCGATTCGTGGAGTCAGTTTTTCTCAACAAACACTAAATATTCCATAATTAGTAAATCACGTGTTAACAGAGTAAGCATTCTGAAATAAACCAGACAATTTTAGAACTATTTACATTTCGTACTATAAGCTAAGAAAAAATACTCTATTCTTTCACTACATAATTGACATTTACGTATATGTCTCTGGAGTAACATACTGAACTTGAAACTGAATTAAAACTAAAATTTGTCGAATTTATCTTTTACAATTCTAGTCAAGGAGCTTAGAAAGAATAATAACAGAGAAATGTCCTAATCATCGGTGTGAAAATGAATCGATTATCGACAGTAATTTCCCAGCCATAACAAGACCGGAATCATTCGCTTGTGAAAATGTACACGTCGATTTCTGGCTTCTCGCTTCTAGATATTTTAGACAAACCAATTTTACCCTTCGCTTGTCAAACGCAGCTAAATACAATGAATGAAGATGAAGACGCCATCGACAAGCGATAAATGAACAAGCAGCAGACACGTCTGTCGATCAAAGGTATAGATTTAGGCTTGCTTGACCCAGTAATCGACACTTTGGATATCGTCGATCCGGAAGAGCTTAAAATGACCTTTTTATGTTTATTTGTCGCGAGAGAAGACAAATGAAACAAGGGACAATGATTTAGTGCACTATTTATTTCGCTCGAAATAAATAAATTTATCTCGAAGAAAAAATCAAGCTTCTTTTTCTTGTTCGACGTACAATACGACACCTCAAACGGATTTCCAGCAAAATATTCTAACTACCAATGAATTTAGAACACCGCTATTAACCTCACAGCTTAATTTAATATTTGATTGAAAGCACAGGAAGCGTCGGTCGCTAGGTCAACCGGTGTCGATAATTGAAACGTTCATACGATGATAGAGTCAACTAATTTAGGAATGTTTTGGAGGCGGATAGCTCGACGCTATTTCGCTTTCTATAGGTTTATAGTCGGGCCAGAGGCTGAATGGTACTGTTACATAAACCATGCACCCTCGCGAACGGTCGCCTGGCAATGGCTAGGAACTCCGAGTCGCGTAGGCATCAAGTGTCGCAGGATTGATTGTTTAGAGTAGGCTTAATATTTTTTTGTGAGAAATATATTCTTTTTCTTATGGAATAATAGATAATTCAACCGATCCAATTTTTATTTAACGAAGATATTGAAAAATCTAACCACGAATTGGAGCGGGAAACTGTAAAAAAACGATACTTTCAAATAATAAAATTCGAACACATAATAATAAAACATCTATTCAATAAAATGTTACCAGTAATTACACGACAGACACTAGCCTTGGGATTTTTAACGCGACCGTAGTTTACGATCAGTTTCGAAGGCCAACCGTGGTCTGCTATCCTTTTTATCATTAGTCGCGGAGTCAATCAATGCTCTGAAAGAAGCTTTTATGCTGCTCTTTTCAGGTTTCGAGAGCGAGTGTTTACTGCCGTGGCAGCCAACCTTCTGAATCTCAAATAGCAATTGACGTATCGTAAACCCAAAGTTGGATGGACGTTTGGTCAGAGGTCTTCGCAAGGCAACCCAGCGTGCCTGAGCCTCCTTCCAAGCCTCTTACCTGACCACCTAACAAGGTAGACGAAATTGGCGAATTCGAGAAGGACCACCATGTAATCGTAACGTCGCGCGTCGTCAAAGTTAATCAAAAATTAATTTCACAAATTAACTTCCTATCTACTCGCAACCTACTTCGAACCTTTGTAACTTCGATCAAATTTAACATTTTTTTATAATATTTAGCATCCGTATTCTAGACATCCAATGCTCGCGAAAAGTATAAAAGAAAAGGAAAAACGAAAATTGTGTCGACTTCGGGACACTTTCGAATGTAATTGGAAATCTTGAAATTTCATTTTTTTATTTTCTTCTTACGCGCGTACGCGTATATTCCAATCAGGGCACGATCAGGATTATTCACTTTCTATTTGTAACGCGATCCGGTTATCTTTGTTTGCTTGACCTATGACAATTATGGATTGGAATCAAGATGGATATACATACATTGCGCACCGAGATAAGACGGCACTTTAGTTGAAAGTCACGTCTCTGTCAGAGATAACATACAACGCATAATCAATTTGCGAGGTGAGCGCGGAAGCCTGGCTTATTACATACGTCGGTAAGCCTGGTGTATGCATTTCGTGGAGATCATTTTTCTAAATGCCTTTCCAGCTAGGCTCGAGTCTTAAAGACGAATAAGGACAGAATCCGATTGAAGTAATAGATGATAAATAAGGTGTACGTACTAAGTTCTTTAGAACTAGGTTAAGCATTATTCAAATATAATTACGTTGTTAGTATCAAGGAAAACATATACAGTCAGTCCCTTAAGTATCCTCTATGTCTATCCAAGAAATTTGTCTGAATTAAATGATGAATAATTTAAAAAAATTTAAGAAAGGTTTCCTAGCAAAGGCTTGCTAAACTCTGCCACTAATGAATAAATATTCAACACAGTTTTAGGATAAATATAATATATCCACTAAACTGCATGCATATATAATATAACATTAAAGGTTTAATAAAAGCTCATATGATCCAACAAATTGGCCAGACGATATAAAGGTCTCTATAAAGTCGACTATCGACGTACAACCTAATCGTTCAGAGTGAAAACGTTAAAAAGTAATTATCCACGAAAGAATGCAAGCTTTCCGTAAACGTATCTTGCAAGACCAAGAGTGTTGCGTGACTGATAAAGCTTTAGGAACCGTTTAAGGTGTTCCAGGACGTTTCTGACGCGTGATCCAAGGTTGAAGGGTTTAAAGAAACGAAAAGCACGGCTTACCTCGTCCCTGTCCGTTTGGTCCGCCTGTTGCGTGAGCCCCGATACCCTGAGGACCTCTGCGGTCTTCAGGAAACTGCTAAGGGAACGCTGATGCACGTTCACTTCCCCGTGATAAATGAACTCCACCAAAGCGTGCAAGTCGCTGAACGCTACGTCCTGAAGTACTATCACCGGGTGTTTGCACGGTGTGCTCTGCAAAACGGTGGGATATCGTCGGGAAAATGGGGTAGGGAGATTTTCTCGGATTAGTTAAACATTGACGTTGCGCTCGACGGACTTATCGAGCCCGCAGTTAAGGGAACACGTATGGGGATGAAGAAAAAATACAGATGGGATTTAGAGGAAAACAAACGAAGACGTATCTTACCTTGAGCAATTCTCTAAAGTAGGGACTGCAGGCGGAAAGTACGACGCGGTGCGCTTTGAGGCTCTTGCCATCGCAGGCCAGTGTGACGTCCACGAAATCCTCATCGTCCCTCAAGTTTTCAAACGCCGACGTTATACTGCTTTGGTAATTATTCCATCGCAGGCAAAAGTGTTGCGTATCTACCATCGTTATATCTATTCACCTATAATCAGAAATAATGTGTGCTGCTATTTAAACCCACATCGACGCTTTATCTTATCGCTTAATAAAACATTATATGCTTTGCTCCGAGTAAATTAAGCAGCGTTCGATCGACCGGCATCGATCGACTGCTGGAAATCGGCGGCGATTCGCGCGTGCGAATCGGAAGAAGACGAGGAAACGGAGTAAGTGAACATTTTCTAGGTCGATCGGTATAACCATTGGAGATGTCTGGATTTATGACTTTTCGGAATTATTTCCCAAAGAAAACTTAAGTATGTAATAACGCTTCTGAACATACAAATATTTCTCTGGAATTAATTCTTAAAGAAGATTATTTCGAGGATATTTATTTTTAAGGAATGTAATATTAAACAGGTAACGATATATTCATCTCGGTCTCCAAAATTTTCAGTTAATTTTCGGATACGTCTATTGAACAGTGTACATTGTATAATATATACGTATACGACAATATACACAGTGCTCCTAACGTGCTGGGCACATAACAATTATTAATAAATATCTAATCTCTACGTGTCCAAACTTTAGGAGCATTCTGTATATTGTACAGATATACACATACATATGTTAAAATAATCAAAAATATCAGTGTGTCATACAGCCCCTAAAGAAGCTGATTACGCTGGCCGAAGGACACGGCTCATACCTGTAAGCCTTAATTAATATCAACTATGACGAGCCAGACCGCGAAAGCGTCAAATATCTTCCAATTTTCTAGTTACGCGATAAATCGTCGATAAGCATTCCCAAAACTGATAATTTTCGATAAACGTCGTTTCGAAATTAAAAACGCTGTTGCAATTGGCGCGTAAATATTACCAGACGTATACTAAACCGAGACAAAAAAGAAAACTGAAATTGATTTTCCTTCAAATCCGTTCTTCTTGAAATTTAATATTTTCAACCCTTGCAAAATTCACGTTTGAATTGCCAATAAAAAAATCAGAAAAAAACTTTTCCTTTACGCGAATAAATACATTCGTAAAAAAGAAACATCCCGGGGTCCACTAGATAACAAGACGCAGATTACATAATGCTTTTGTATCGATTGATATTTAACCGGCGTGTTTACCATAGGCGTGGCCTCAAAACAGATGTCAATTTCTTTAGGGTCTCGGAGCCGCGAAAAAGAAACTTACATAACATGACGAATTAATACGCAGATTCGCCCAGCATGGGGACAAAGTGGACCAAAGGTGTCCCGCGAAACACATGTTATTAATTCCGAACGGAATAGAAATACGGCGAAGCGAAACGCTTCTTCTTCTACAGACTGTTGCAAAGCGACACTTCTGACTTTGCGGTATTTTTACGTGGGCAAATGGTGAGTCAAGCCGCGTTGAAAACGCAACGGGCAGCAGAGATGTCCGAAATTCTTATTTAGACACATATTTCGAATAACGAGTCAAAAAATTAATATTTGAGTAAAAATATTAATTGTAAAAATTCAATTCTGTATCATAGACTTAAATTTACACTAAAACAATCTGTACAAGCGAATATGTCATCATCCGAATGAAAATTGAATTTTATATCGTGCAATAAAGCAGCGAGCAGGCAGCGAATCTCGCGTAAAACTCGAAGAACCGCAAAGCAACACCGTGAGTATAACGAATTAAAATCGGGGCGGAGGATGACGTCGGGAGGGAAGAATAAAAATTGAAGAGTGCATGGCGTAAAAATAGACGTCCGAGGAATTGCATACACTACTTTTTATTTGCACCATACGAGAAAATTAGGTCGCCAGGCTGAGAGCGAAGCCAGAACGTACGATTAAATAATTCTCTTCGCCACTTATAAAAGCGCAGGCATTAAATGTATGCTGATAGTGTTATCTTAGCAAAATGATAAAAGAAAAAAAAAAGAGAAAAGGAAAGAAAAAAAAAAACGAGGAAAGATGTTAAAACAAATTTACAGTGCTTGGCCGGCTACGAGGCCGTGCGTGGTGGTGTTGCCACGACAAAAGCCTCTATGTTGAGAATGGAATTAATGGTCGTCGATTGCACCAGTTCCTTCAATTTTTTTTCTTACTTTATATTCCGTAATGGCGTTGTTTACGATAAGAAGCACCACAGACACCGTGTACACTATTTTACAACGTTTCCGTTGATAAATCGCCGTATCGCTGATTCGCAAGGTATTTTTACGCTTGGTTATTATTTTTCACGCCTCGTCCGTTCCGAAGAAAATAGTCATTAACGCGCAGCGTACCGCGGGACCGCAAGAATCCAAACACACGCGACGACCGGTGACGGGTAAATATATTTACTTAAACATTTCGGATACGCCGCGAACCCGATTATCGGTGGCACCGTGTGGCGAGGTAGGAGAGAACAGAAAAAAAAAATAAAAGAACTTTTCTCTCTCGATACGTACTCGTTTATCATAAGCCCCGGCAGTGCGCGATTCGGAAACTGTTTTCAGATTCTTTTTAAATTCGCTATCGCGCACTGCTAAATTTATGTGTGACGAATTCGCGATAAGTTTCGCAGTCTCGTGAAAATCCTGGCCGGCAAAAACGCCACGATAATAGAACCACGCCGGATGGTACTATTGGCGATCCAGAGGACGAAACGGGGATCGATGAAACTCGACTTTGTTTACCGTACTCGGACCTAAACATGTTTCCAACGCGCGCGAACACGCGACAACCGAAACGGAGGAAAAATGGAAAAAAAGGTACACAGAGATCGGCGGACTGTCTCGTTTAAATAAATATGTACTTCTAGCGGGGAATTAAAGACGAAAGGTGTTTTGCGCTTGGTTGCTTGTTCAATTGACGATTATTAAGTTGACTAACAGTAAGACTAACAGATTGTTCTTGACAATTATCACGTGTGGAAATTCACTCTAGTTTATACAAAAATTCTTCACTGGCCATTCGTCACGTTATGGTACCGCCGTAGCAATGAAGCACGTGGACTAATTTCGACATTTTATCCTTAAAATTACATGTACTGTTTTGAAGCAAGAATCACTTGCTCCAAAAGACTCTTTTATTATGTTAAAGTACTGTTTTGGACCAAGAATGACTTGCTCCGAAAGATTATTAGTTAAATGACGCAGAATTAACTACTACGACTGATATTACTAATATTTTACGCCGAACGAATAAATAATGGACATCCGTGGGACGGTTTAATCGGATATAAACGTGAGGTGTAAGTCGCTGCGCGGCGATGTGTTTATTCGTTAGTCGCATGAAATTTCGTCCGTCTCTGCGATACGATTCTGTTACACCGAGTAAGAGACGCAGTGCGGAAAATACCGAATTATTCGCCGAAACGTCAAAAACATGGACACGAAACCGTTAACACAACCGAGGTCAGTAAATAGATCGGTGTTGGGAATTTTCTTTGCTCTATGTTTACCGCGTGTAATACTTTCACATCAATTGGAGCACTCTAACTGCCTTAGACCTCTTAAAGGAGATTGACATGTATTTACGTTCACGTTTAGTTTGTATGTTATTCGAAATAGTTTAACCTCTTGAGACATACACATGTGTACGTTGTGTTTAAGGTAAAAATAACCGTTATTTACGATCACGAATATCACGATACCTTTTAAAATTGAAATATAATATGCTGTTTTATTTATTTCAGACAAGACAGTCGTCTTCGAAGAGGTTGAAGACAGAGAGGAAACGCTTGTACAAGGTTGAAGATACTGTTTTCCGTTAAACTTTTTAAGCTAGTTACGATACGTGTATTTGCTGTTGAAGATCAATTTTATTTTTCGGAGCACTCTTTAGGAAAACTGGCACATACGCGTACATTTAATTTATGATTTGTCTTAAATATCGTTTCACAAAAGTAACCGGTAAAATTACGAACGGTATTCATAATTATATGAAACAATTACATCATCGCAAGATTGATAGCCGCCATGTGCGTCGATCTCATTTTTATTTTTCGTTATTTCAACCAAAATAGAGGTCAGAAAATATCGAGTTTCGAAGTAAAGAGTATTTGAAGATGGCATGTACAACGTAAAACTAGTTATTCACTGAAAAAGAACACGGAGTTATTAAAAGTTAGAATCCCAATCACCGAATGAAGTTATACTTCAGCTGATTGACATCCGAAATGACTTGATTAAATGAAAAAGTATCAGGGTTAAACAAAACTTTTTTTTTTTTTTTTCAATTTTTCATCCATATTTTTTGTATTCAAGGAATGTTCAAAGTAAATAAAAATATTTTAGTTTCAAGCGACATGAACAACTTTTAAATACGATTTCAGTATACCTCGACAAGCGATAAAGACTGTATAAAAATGACACCAGCAATAATAACTCCGAAAATCGACGAGAGACCGGATGACAGCGTGCACTGATTACCTTTTCCTTTCCGATCTCGGCTAATTGGCTGTTTATACGGTTTTCGTAGCTTTCTAAGGCACATTCACCACCACACTATCCAGAGAGGAATCACAGTTCGAAAAATGCGGATGCGTTATCGCGAAAGCACACCTATCACTCGTCATGCCGCGTAAGCTAATGACCGTAACAATGAACTGAATTGAAACTGGTCTGCGTTTTATCTCCACAACGCCACCTCGCAAAAAAGTGCGCACTTCACAAGTTCGCGAGCAAGTCCCCTACACTTGGCCAGTAGTGCTGTTGCTTCGTGACGGAAAGTCATTCTCGTCGGACCGTTCGTCGTGATCGTCGTGACGACCTGATCGCCGGAAAATCTGCGCCCGTTCGATTAACGATCGATATTAATTCGAGGGAAAAGTGTGGGGTAATGGGAGGGGGATGGGAGAGGGCAAAAGGGGGGAGGAGAAGGAAGAGAACACCTCGCGTTGCACGTTGGCGAGACGGTTCTAGCGACGAATGATCGTCGTCCACGTTGTATTTTACGCACGGGAAGGAAATCCGCGTGCGGTTTGGGCGCGTGGTCGGCCACACGCGCGAAACGGAGCAAATTGGTGTCCGGAGGCGAGCGCGAGGCGGATGAAGCGCGTTGTTTCCCGCTTTTCGTGGACAGGTACACGCGTTTCGTCGATTCGCTGATCGAGGAAATCGTGACGACGGATCACAATATCGCGCAACGAGAGCAACGAACCAGCCGGGACCAGATGAAAGGAGACGAAGTAGTGCCGGCGCGAGAAGTGGTTCGAAAACCGGAAACGCACGATCCTCGGGCAGAGAGCACGTTGGCGTGAGCACCACAGTCCACCGGTGGCTTCTTTCTCCGTCACATACCGTGCGAACTAACCCCCGAAACGTCACGTCACGACTGTGCAGCTGTGTGCCGCCTTCGTCGACGACGGCGGGCGTACGTCGACGGCGCGGCAGCGAGGCCGCACGAAAACGTACGAAAAGCCGGCGATCGCCGGTACGACGAGCGAGAACGAGCCACAGGAGAGACGAGGAACAAGTTCGAAGGGGAAGACGGGGAGAGAGAAAGAGAGTGAGAGCGGGAGAGAGAGAAGCCAGAGAGACACGTACACGGAGAGACTCGCGAACACGAACGAAACGGAGAGATGCAGGCGTGGGAGGTTAAAGAGGGAGGAAAAAAGTGAGCGGGAGTAACGAAGACGGGAAGAGAGGGCGAGCAGATTTCGCGAAGGATCGCGGAGAAGAGCGGAGCGACGCGTCTCGAATTTTCTGCCACCGCATCGCTGGACCGAAACGAGAAAAATGATGCCAACTCTGACGCTGAATTCTACCTAGGTTGCATTTGTTATTAATCGTGTACGACAGGTAAATTTATTCCGAGGAGGATCGAACGTAAGAGGAATTATTTTTAGGGGTCCGAAAAAGGTTCGTGTTTGTGAATTTTTTTAGGGGCAAACGGAAATCTTCTGGTGATTAGTTTCAGGGTACTCGAAAGAACGTTTCTTAGTGTGCGTGTTGCAAATTTTATATTTAAAAGTAGCTTAAATTGACATAGGTGCGGAGATGTGATTTACATGAGTATTCCGTGGTGACCACTCAGAGTTCAGAAATTGAAAAAATAAGTATTTTAGTCATAGCAAACGAACATTAAAATCAATTTTTTTTTATTTTTTTTTTTTGTTACCATTGAAAGCAGGAGAGCTTAATACGTTTCAAATTAATACGGAGAAAAGTCTGCAACGTTGGAAGTCTTTCAGCGACAAATTTTGGAGCTTAATTAGTTAGTTTGGGTGATATTTAAACACCGTGCTAGTGAGGATTACTGAGAGGTAGTATTTTCTCCATTGAGAGGATTCGACGGAATAAATGTGAGGAACGGACACCGACGTCACTTATGTACGGCAAACAAAAATGGAAATTAAATTACTTCTGGCTCTTGAAAGCAGGAAATTTTGTACGGGCTTCTGCAACGTTGGAAGTCTCTCAGCAGCGGATTTGAAGCTTAAAAAAGCAGTTTTTGTTAGTTTCGTGGAATTTTGGAGCGCTGTATGCCGATGAGGAACGGTGCGAAATCAAATTTTGTTCAACATGAGGACTCGATGGGGCAGGTCGTGTTGAGAAAATTCGTAGCGGGTTGTACCGAGGAAAACGTAGAAGGTCATGGTAAAGGAATTCAAAGTGAGTCGTGCTGAGGAAACTGTAAAGGGTTGTGCTTAGGAAATTCGTACAGGATCGTGCTGAGAAAAATGCAGAAAGTTGTGCTGGGGAAATTCGTAGAGGATCGCGCTGTGGAAAGCGTAGGATGTCGTCCTAAGGAAATTCGTAGAGTATCTCGCGGCGAGTAAAGCGTAGAGGGTCGCGCGTGTTTCGCCCGAGGAACGGTAACGAGGTTTACCTCGCGGCACCTGTCAGGCGCGTCGTTCACGTGCGTTTCGTGCCGCCTTCCCCGCGGTTTCCTTCCAACGGTTTTCCAAGCGGTGTCTCCTCCTCCACGCAGCGTACGCGCACGTAGAGACAAGAGGGTTACCTGCGAGAGGACAGGCCACCAGCCAGAGATGGGCGAAGTTCCTATCTAGATAAAGATTTCGAATAACGAACAAGAGATGATTCAACCGCGATCCACCCGTCGAATGAAAAAGTTAGAATTTGTATTACGAAATACTTTCCGTTGAGTAAAAATTCAACTATTCGACTTCAACAAGTGCACGAGTAGCACGGGAAATTTTGAAATTTACTTTTTTTCGAAAATGTAGCGTCGTATAAAAGAATGTTATTCTACATTTTCAGAGGCTACTCGCTTGTACCATCAGTTACGGGACGCCCTTCATATTAAAAAGATGAGATCATGTTGCAAACAATCGAAGATACGAAACATTTGATCGTAGAATTTTCATGTTTCATGTTGTTGGCAAAAAAACTTGTAGAAAATGTGTTCACAATTCGACATATAAGAATGTACATCCGATTTTCGCGATACCGCTTCGTGGCTAGCGAAGCCAACAAATTTGTATCATCTCTCTCGGAAAATGTCTGCCGACCCCTGGAATAAAATTCTGCTCATCTCCGGCCTCGAGGCCTGTCGCGACACTAGGGGGAAGTCTGTCTTCGCCAGCCGACGATACAACGCCCAAGCGACTACACACCGCGCGCGTCGAAGATGGAGCCTTCTTCTCTTTTTGATACATTCGGGATCGATGTATCGCGCGATAATCATCCAGTAGCCGACAGTTTTTTTTTTATAATTCTGTTTTAAGACTGGAGAAATCATCGGAGTCACGGATCGGATAACCGATACGTAGCACGAGTCATCTGTTTCGAACATGCGGCGACACCTCCGGCACTCACCACTAGAGGACAAGCTTTCTCGCAAGCACTCGATCAGCTTTCGACTCCTACATAAACAGTCAACCGATCTTCGGATACCATTACGACTAAGGTAAAGTACTCAGGCCCTAACATCATCAATGGGGTGCTTTTATGTTAGCGCATCATCTCTGTTAAATCGCGTCGTTCAATACGCAATTCTCCCTCCTACTCTACCCTTAAACTGCACTGCTATGAAAAAACAAAATCGTTTCTTAACCTTTTGCAGACTGAAATTTTGGAGCAAGACGCGCGCTGTGTGCGAAATACTTCTATATTGAGCGTACAGTATGGTGATCTCTCGCTAGTTTCCCACACATTCGGACAGACTTCGATAGGTCTGGGTTAGGTCCTCTAGCAAACACACTCGTGTGCTTATGAACCGCAGTTAGCATGGGACCAGTGGTCAATCACCATTCTGTGTACACACGCTGATTCTCTCGCTAGTTTCCCACAAAGACGCGTCCTGAGCATCGATAAGCCCGTATTAATAAACACGATCCGACGATGGAGCTCTGTAACATAAGAGCTCACCGGGTCCTCCGCATCCTCATCAATTCATCACGCACGAGAATCTTGCACACATCCCACACAACATTTCGTCGAGCCCAGTGGACTCCCTCGATAGTAGACCCCATCCAGATCAACGTTTGTGAGAAACAAGCAACGGAATCGCTCCGAAAGCTAATATGAGTTTACCGCGCACGATGACCCACCCGTTGGACCGCGAGCGCACACGTGCGTCCAACGTCCCGCAGCCCGTGTTAAGGTGTTAATCCTCTCTCTACCTTTCCTGATCCCCGCGAAATCCGAAAACACCGGGTGGAAGCAGCGAGCTCCGAGGCGCGGGAATTTCAAACGGCGTCTGGCACGCACACACGCACGCACGAGCTACCCACCTAGCCACGTGTTCCCTGTGTTCGGGATGCGAGCAGCCACCGTGACGCAAATGTGCCGCGCGCTCCACACTCCACGGAATGCGAAGGATCTCTCTCGGTCCGCTCACGTTCCGCGCACTCGGACACAGCTAGATCCACCACCACCACCACCACCACCACCACCACCACCACCACCACTACCACTACACCCGTTAAAGCGCGAGTTTATCTCTCGCGTGGACACACGAACGGTGATCGCGTTAGCGGAGCGGACACACCAGTCAGCCAGCCAGCCAGCCGTTGACACGTCGTGGAACAAAGTCACTGTCACGGCGGCGCAACACGTCCCGTGCGCGTAAGAGAGGGAGGAGAGGTGGAGCCCTCCGCTCCAGGCGAGGGTGGCGTGCGAGGGAGTGTGTGTGCGAGATAGAGAAAGAGAGGGAAGCAAGAGTGGAAAAAAAAAAAAGAGGAGGTGTGCGTAAACGTAAGGTAACGTAACCGTGTCGCGTCGCGGCGCGTCACGACGACACCAGAGAAAGAGGAGCCACGAGAAGCGCCGAGAGTACGGGCTACAGCTCCCTAGCCTGGTTAAGACTAGCATACACGCGGGGGGGGGGGGGGGCGGAGGGAACGACGCCCGCCGGCCGCCGTTATTCTTTATCGGAGCATGAGACATCTGTCGTAATAAGTGCGGACTAAAAAATAGTGCGTACGCAGGGAGAGGAGAGCGAGAGAGTAAGAGACGGAGAGACGATGGATTCGATGGTGGGGAGCTTTATGCCTGTGGCCGCATCGGCCTCCCCTTTCACTCCGCCCGCCAAGCCCACCACTCTTTTGATCTCCTCTCGTTCTCCTCCGCAACCCTCCCGTTCTCTTCCGCCCCCATCGTGGCCCTCTTCCATCCGTTAGCCCACGGAGACGAAAATGCGCAAAGCTAACGACTTCCAATTAAAAGCGCTCGGGAGTCCCCGGCATTTTTAAGGCGCCAAACGCCGTCTCGCGCGCTCCAAACGCGCGGATTATCGCGGATAGACCGACAGGCTGCTCGGGTGTCCGGCTCGATTTCGGTCGCCCGAACGATAGCGGTCTCGGTTTCCATGGACGTTCAGCAATAGCTAGCTCGAGCTCGACGACGATCGCGTCGCAGAGGAAAAAATTAATTTTTTGGTATTCAGGATTCGCTGCTTAAGCTGGTTTTTTCAAGATAAAGAAAAAGAATGGAAGTAAAAGGACCCGATTTGTTCCAAAAGGGTGGGAGCGCTGAAGTGCTTACACTTTGAGTAATTAGTCTCGGTTTCCATGGACGTTCGGCCGTAGCCAGCTCGTGCTTGACGACGATCGCGCAGAAGGGCGAAACCCCCTCGAAACGGGAATCACCGCTTCGAATTGTACGATGAAATGATCGTTCGTGAAAAATGAATTCTTTGTTTATTTTTCTGGATTTAATATTTAATCTAGTTCTTCGCGATAAGAGAAACAACAAAACTTGAAAGTAAAGAGACACGATTCGCCCTGTAGGGGTAGAAGGGCTGAAAAACTATAAGTTTGTATTTCGTCAACTTCTTCGTAAAAATATTGTAATCTTTATTGAACTAGCGATCATTGAAATCATTGGTC